ATTTTGTTTACTTTGAGGGAAGTTTAACAGCATGAATTGCCTTGATCATTCCTTCTAACTTGGAGCATAGTATCATCTCTGCCCTCGCTTTAACGTGAAAGGAAGCAGCTTTCGTGAAAGAGTTAAGCGCAGCGGAGGCTTTGGGCTCCTTTGCTGGGGGAGATGGTTGCGCTTGTGTTTGTTTTGAAGTGCTGGCAGGAAAGTGGGGAGGAGAAAATTACCTAAGTGATCGCGGGATTGCTAGGAGCTGTGCAAAACTGTGGAATCAAATCGGACAAACTCCACCTCGCCGTCCTGAGCCGCAAGCACAACCCCTGAGGAGAAACCCACCCCACGACGGAGTGATCTCAAAGACTTGAACGACAACCAAGCTACATGATCTCAGCAGAGCTGCTGCAGAGCTGCAAACCCAGGAGCTGTCAAGGCAGCCCCCAGTGTTACAAACAGGAATGCTCTTACTGGGGAGTTCAAAAATAATGAAGTGGAGGCAGCTTTTCTGGATCGCATTCTGTGTTGTGAACTTGCTGGGTGAGTATTGACTGTAGAAAATAGCAATGTTGTGACCACTAAGAAGCAGAACAGCATGAGAACATAGTGCATGGGGCAACTTCTTTATAACTGCTAGAGTGGCAAGTTGGGGGAGGGAGATGCGTTTTAATGCGTGTTCAGGGGAATTGGAGCAGATTGCAATTGCACATAAAGAACACGGTAATGACACTTTACAGAACAACACTGCATTAGACATCCTGTCCAACACATCCAAAAGGATGTTGTGCAAACAGAAAATACTGCTGATTCAAGAAGGAGGGTAATGAAGATACCAGAGCTGCCTACAAGAAGACGTATTAAAGATGACAAGAAAGGATGCAAATGCAGCGTGCAAAACTGTAAAGTGCTGCTACAGTTCAAGCCACTTCTCAATCTGCATTGGTGCAAATTAGCCTTACTTTTGTCTTCTGTTAGGAATTAAACGTTTTCAGAAAAATCAGATGAACTTCCATAAATATTAAAATCTTCTATTCTAGTTCTTTGAATATTCAGAATATTTAAAAAATGAATAACATAGAGATTTTTCTCTAGATAGTATTTTTAAAAGGGTTATATTTTGTGGAAATATTATCATTTTTTGTCTCAAACTCAACAACCACAAAGTAATAAAAAAGGGACTGAAAAAGTGAAGCAACACGCTTTGTGCTACATCCTGTGCTGGGATAAGAGCCAAGAACCGGCGGGTTTCTAGTCGAACGTAATTTTCCTTTACTCGCCTGAATGCGAGCGACTAGATCTGCTGCAGAAACTTCTTGTCGCGTGAACTTCTTTCACGTTCCTTTCGCTGCCAGAGTATATTGTTCACCCGAGCCGTTGCGCCTGGCCCTCTGGTCTATGTTAATTTTACAGAAGGGAAAAAAACAGAAGCCTCAAAGCAAAATTCGGCCGTGTCCGGCGGTCCGAGCGTGCAGCGAGCCAGGCTTGTAAGGCAAAAGCGTTTACCTGCAACGAGAAACCGGAGTTGCTTGCGATACAAAGCAAAACTGCTGCGGAAGTGACCCCGGGCACCGGCTTTGCAAAGGTGAAGCGGCCCGGCAGCGGGGGCCGCAGCGCTGCGCAGCGTGGCTCCCCGGGCGGGCGCAGCCCCTGCTCGCTCCTCTGCAGGGCCAGCAAGTAGAGGCGGGCAATATAAAGCAAAGAAGAATTAGGAACCTCATCGCTGGAGGTGCCAGCCATCTCCACTGCTTCGGGGAGTCTGAGAGATCAAGCCGAGGTGGCGGTTGCAGCCGGGTCGCAGCCGTCCCTCCTTCCGCGGCACAATGAAAATTACTGATGGACAGTGCAGACAACCGTCCTGGCCGTGCTTGCAGCAAAAATACATGGAAAAGCGAACGTATGTGTTCATACCGAATACAAATAGTTTTAGCCTTTTTTTTTTTTTTGACTGACCGCTATGCCAAGTTTTTATTTTTTAATCTTTTCTTGTCATTTTAAAGCTTTTTTTATTTTTGCAAGATCATACTAGATATCACTGCCCCATATCACTGTCCTTTTCCCTGCTCCTCGCCCCGCTGCCTTTGCCCGGGGCGGCTGCGGCCCCGCATCCTGCCTGGGGCTGCGCGGCGGCGGCGGCCCGGGGGACAGCGGGGTTTGACCAGCCCTTTCCCGGGGGAAGAGCGCTCTAGCCGGTGTTTAATTCGCGTAGGGCACGAGTTCCAGGCGCTTTTGCCGTGTTGCTGAGCCTTTGCTCGCGCAGCGCTCGGCCGTCCATCGCGCCCCGTGACCGCGCGGGGTGAGCCCGAGACCAGGCTGTTTTGACAGATTCATATTGTCGCCTTTGGTTGTGCTTGACTGGAGCTGGGATGATTCCTGGACTGCATTGTTGTGTGTCATTGCAAAACTTTCACAGATGTCAGAAACACTTACTTTTTAAAAGCTAAATAGATAAAATAGATCTCATGAAGCACAATTTAGATAAACAGTTGCATATTTGTCCGCTTTTACTAGTGCATGTGCTAGCACTACTAAGTTCAGTGTTCTCTGCGGTCAATATATGACTTGGCTTAAACTCCTAAACCCTTAATACTAATACGTTGGCGAGGTTTAATAAAGCCAGTAAGGTTGTATGGTGCAATAAATAGCCCACTTCAGCTGAGCACCACGTGGATTACCCAGCTCCCAGCTGGATCATTATTTATCCCACGAGTCCTAAGGCTTCACAAAACTTAGCTGTTTTGTGTAACAGTGCCCGCATACGCTACAGGAAAGGGAAGAAGAAGAAATATTAGGTGACAAGACTTCTTGCAAGTTGCACTAAGCAGTAATCCAGTCTTCAAGTTACCACGTTCGGTGGTGAAAAGCCTGTGATTAAAACTACCTCTGTTGTTTCTGCAAGCATCTGGAACAGCTCAAAGGTGGCTGGGCGCGTTGGGAGGTCAAGTTCAAGGCGTTACGTTGTTCTAACGATGTAAAGTTTCCTGCCAACGTCCTGCAAGCCCGGAGCCCCCAGGCAAGGTAGGGGCTTAAGGCAGCGCTACTTACTATTCTGCGCATGCAGTCGTGCCTCCTGGTTTTGATTTACTAAAATTCATCGGAAAAGCTTGGTGATTTAACAGTTTGGAATGGAGCGCTGTCTTGGCGAGAGGAAACCTTTCCCTTAAATACAAGCTGTGCCAGAACCGAAATCCCCGCTCCAAACACCTGTGCTCGGCCCTCGGCAAGGCCCCGGGGCCCTGGCTGCTCCCAGAGACAGCCTCTCCGCGGAGACCGAGTCGCTCCGCCTGCTTTCGCTGGTTGCAGGGCCGAACTGCAGTGATTTAGTTCTTTGCTCTTCATAAACCGTGCAGCTTCTTTGGACTTAATCCAACAAAGTATTAACATCCCAATTTAGAAAAATGCCTTTTAGGACAGTGCTTTAAATGCACGTTTAGCTGCACCCAGCCTGGCTGCCGCCCTGACGCTAGTACACTGGGCAGTGGCTCAAGATCTGACCGCGTTGCTAGATCTTGAAGGATTGCCCAAAAGGATGAAATAACTCTTCTTGGAGCTCCCACCCCACTGGGCAGAAATACAAATGAAACAATGTATTTTTTATTATTTTCTCTTTAGTGGCTGGATAAGACTCTTAAACAACAAGAGGCCTAGAGTAGGCACTGAAGCTGTCTGTAAAAAGCAGAAATAGATCTTAAGAATATAGAAGATAAAGAAATAGGAAGAAAAGCGTCATCACTGACTCAGGAAGCTCATTTCGGAAGGAAAAGCTGGGGGTGTCATCTCTGCGACATACCAAGAAGAAATACGAAAACTGTAAATCAGAATCCCGCACGCCTCTCCAAGCTCTGCTTTACCTCCAGAGCTGTTTCTGCTCATGAGTCAGAACCTGATCTCCCGCCAGTGAGAATGTTTCTATTTACTTTGAGATTGTGCCTGCAACTGAAAAAATCCAACTGATTTTTCCTAATAACCAGCACAAACGAGCTCTTCCAAGGCCTCGGGCTTCCCTCCCAGGATTGGAAACGTGAGCTGCTCTCCCGTGGAGCTCTGCGCCGAGCTCTGCCCAGCTGCTCCCTCCCAGGGCCGAGGGCGCCGCGGGACGGGGCAGAGGCCCGGCTGGGTGGCCCCGGCCCCAGCTGCCGGCAGGGCCTCGGATACGTGCCCAGCCGAAATGTTTAGTCTCTGAACTTCTTCCGTGCAAACTCAAAGGCAGCCTGCCGTTTCTGGGGCGAGGGAAAAAGTGAATTTGGGAAGGGCAGCTGGGGGAAGAGAAGCGCTTCCCTTGGCTCCTCTGCCCCCGAGGGCTGCTGCTGGAAACTGGCTGCAGCGCAGGGGAGTGCAGCGGGATGGCCCAAGGGCCAGCAGCCCTTCAGCATGGAAGGGGGGGACGCCGTCTTCTCCCACCCTGCTGGGGTCACGCAGATGTGCCGCAAAATAAGAGCGGTGCCCTTGGCTAGTAAGGGGCTGGCAAGGGGTGGAAACAGTTGCGCTAAGTTTTGGAGAACACCTGCTGTGCTGTAGCCCTGTATCACTGTCCTCTTCCCCCAGGCCGCGCGGCTGGTAACCCAACACATGCGCTCACATCCGCAACCTCGGCTCCTGAAACGGGACTGAGCAGCAACAGGATGACCACCGACCCTCCGAGCACCGCAAAGCCAACGCTGGAAACTACTAGTAACTGTTGTCCTTGCTCTCCTGGCAATTCCCAGTAGTGGTTGCACTAGTAGTCAGATTTATTAAATTCACAGGTACAACTTGCCTTAAGAAACCATGTGCAGTCATTTGCATCGATGGCTTCTCAGAAAGGAGACTGTCAGTAGGGTCGAACAAAGATTTTATTCCAATCCAAAAATCACACCTGTGAAACTTAGCACTCTCCTGTCTTCATATCCGGCAGCTTAGACGTATCATTTTTATAAAACAGCCAAGAGATGATGGCACAAAATGCTCATTAATCTCCTAGCCCAGCACACCTATCCTTTGCCCAGCAAATGGCACCTTTAAGCAGTCTATCAGCCCTCCCGATAAAAGGCTGAGGCTATAAAAGGTTTTGAAGCAGAGACTCTCAAATAGATGTTGTTGTCTTTCTCTCTGGATATTTTAAACCAGGGCATCTCCCTGATGGCTCTGGGCCACGGGAGCGGCAAGGGTGCCGCGGGGAGGGCCCGACCAGCAGAAGGAGCCTGGCTCTTGCAGCCTGGGCCCAGGAAAGCAGCAGGTTACGAAGTGCATGTAACAATTAGGTAACTGAGGCAAGTCTAATGTGCATTTCTGATACAGCCAATAACATGTTCTGGTACTGCTGACTATGACAAATCAATATTGTACCTCAGTCATCGCAATGCCATGCATTGATCTTAGAGGACTTAAGCTTTCTCATCTATCTTCTTCACTGTGTATCTTCCAAACCCTAGCTGCCCCTGGATCCCTTGCAACTCCCCCCACCTCCCCGGCGCTCAGCGAGGGCCAGGCGAGCCCCCAGCCCAGCCAGACGTACCCACCACCTCCGGGCAATCAGTCGGAGGCGGTGAATGCGACTAGAGGGACCTACCCGCCGAAGGACAGCCCAGCAG